AGCAGGAATTGAAGGTAAAAATTCATGTCTTTCAAACAGTTAGTCAAGGATTGCTCCTTTTTTTGTGGTTTGGTTTGTTGGTTTTTTCAGTTGCAAATTTTAATAACAAATACTTCTGGGTTTAGTTTAGTAAAAAAATTGTACTCTGCTGTTGCAAGAGCTTAGGGCAGATGTACACAAGTGTTTAGGCACCTGTCTGTCTTCTAGATGTGCAAATTCCATTGACATGGTTGCACTTAAGCAAAACATACCTAGGCACTTAAAATCGCTGCAGCATTGCGTTTCCTAGCAATCAGGGTCAGAAAAGCTTTCATGCAACTTGGGGGGCGTAAAAGAAAGCTAGCAAGATGGATATGAAAATTAGGCTTTGCAGAGGAAGATTCCTTTGCTAAAAGGAAGTGGAAGAAGTACAAGAATAGCAGAGAATTGAATTTATAGGTTATAAAAGGGTATTTTCTTACGGAGTTTCATTTGACAATGCTCAAGAGGACATTTCATTGTAGTTTTCCACAAAGTTAATAGGAGAAAAAAATAAGAGAGATACAAAGTATCTTTTTCTCCCCAAGGCTTGTAAACATTTAAATGAAAAACAACCCCCACCAAAAAAAAGTCTACCTTCTTTCCATTAAGCATCTTGCTTTTTTTCCTAGTGAATCTCACATTTGTGCACTGAGACTGCTGTGTGTCCAGCGAAAGAGAACAGATTTCCAGCCCACGGATATTCTCTGAAATTAGTTAGGAACAGATTTCAAGTATATAATTTGAGCATCTTTAAGAAAAACAAAAAATAAATTAAAATATACCATATCATAAGCTTTCCTTCTAAGTGAAAGGCACATGTATTTTATCTCTGTTAGAAAAGGGACATTACATATAACGCACATGGGGATAGGAGCAATGATTTCATAGAGATTGCTATAAATTAAAGCTTTAATCATGCAAATTTTAAAAACAAACCTGTTAACTCTGGGTGAAGCAACCAGGAAATACCTAAATGTTAACACACCAAGCATGTATGGCAGGGTGGAGTAAAAACAGACTATGCATGAAAGGTTTGTGTGCTTTCAATTTATTTTAGTGCACAACTGTAACTTCAGATGTCTAAACTGTTTCTCCTGTTGGGGCAATCACTCATGTCTGAGTTAGCAGAGCGGACAGAATGAGTATGTGTATGTGCATGCATGAATGTCAGAGCAAGAAAGGAAAGGGCAGTGGTAGAGGACTGGTTACATGTATTATATTGGAAGTTAAAATTTATTTGTCTGCAATTCATTCTCTCAGTTCTCACTCCCTTGAGAAGGGCCACAGCTTCATCTTGTTTCGTAGTAAAATGCTTTAACAAAAATTATTTTCCTGACATAATTACATGAATACAGCTTGGACACAAATATCACAATATGTAACAAAATTTGGCTGAAGAGCTATAAACAAAAAGTGAAAAGAAAGAGCTCAGTAGCAAAACTGCTTCCTACCATCCAGACTCAGAGTTCCTTTAATGTTTAAATGAAGAGAGCATGGGCTTCCTTGGACACATTTCATCACTGTTGAGATCTTCATGCTTTTCAGCACCACAGAAGATAAAGAGGCAGGAGCATCATGGCAGAAGCTGTTAAAAATGCCACCTGAAAATGCAAACACAAGGACAGAGAAACCTCATTGTACACAGGATGTCTGGGGGAGAGAAAGCACCAAAGATGAAGGTCCAGCTGTCCTGAAATCAGTACACAAGTCACTACTGATTTCAGCAAACCCAGTATTTGGCCTAAGACTTTCACATGGCCAACATAACTAGTTGGCTTCACTTGCAATGCATGGGGGTTGGAAAGAACTACATTACAGATGAGGTTTGATAATAGATTTCAAGGATTAGAGAAGTGTTAACCCACAAGAGGAAGCAATCACTCTTCTAACAGCTAAGGTTAGCAGAACACACTTAGACTTAATACCATTTTGAAATAATTACACCTGCTGGGTCATGACTAAACTAACAGTTTATTTAGACTTTTTTCAAAACCATTATGTGTATATTGTGAGCACACTCATAGGTAGTATTTTAATTTTAGGATTTTCTGATGGTCTCAATTGTTGTTAAAATATCACTTTCACACAAGAGGGCACCATTGCATTCCAAGTCATGGAAAAATCCCTCACACCTACAGGATTTCCCTTTGCTTTAGACCAGAACAGCAAGAGCAGAATAAATATTATCCAGGCCTTCTTCAAGGCACAGAACACATTAATCAGCAAGCACAGGACACAGATATTATGTCTCATCTTATTTCCCTATGGAAATTTAGTTATTCCAAAGCTTTAGGACATCAGTTTGCACAAATGTCTTCTGTAGGCTAGTGTAAAAGAAAAAAAATACTCTCAAGGTCCCAACCTCATCAGTTAGCCATATTTCATCTCTTTCTACTTCTCAGATTGCCCTGCACAGACATCAGTTATTTATTTATGAATTTATGCTGGTACAGTGGGTTTTAATCCCCAAAGCATTCCTTGGGCTTCTCTACTTCGCATCCATTGTTTGCAGTACCAAAAAACAGCAGCTCAAGAAACTATCACAACAAGTAGCCAGGGAATTAGGGTTTGTGCCTTGGCTTTGTGGTGTACAATGCAGCACACCTCTTTTTAGCTGTAAATGCATCATAGCAATTTCTTTGAAATATTCCTTAACCTTTTCACTTCAGTACACAGAATGAAAACTAAAAACCGCACAAGTAAAATGAAGTAATTTATTGCACATTCTCCTTCCCCGGGTGAGAGGCTGGAAGAACATAGAAAAAAAATTGACTCATGTTAGTCATACTGCTTAACATGCTCCTAGAAGGAGTTCAACTAGTATGGCAGTACATCAACTCTCAATTTTGCAAAGAAATATTAGCAACTAGAGGAGACGTTTGGGCAAACCAAAGAAAAAACACAGACCACTCAAAATATATGAACAAGGCTTTAAGAGCAGTGGAGTATGTTGACTTTGGAAGAATTAATAAACATTTCCACAGAGATGAGACAGCCCCAGGAAGTGCAGTGCACAGCAGTCAGATGTGAATACCGTATTCCATGTTCCAAGAATGGGTGGTGTAATAATCCTGAAGGTAACTCAGGATGGAAAGTTATTGTACAACACCTAATCAATCCACCCACAATTAATTGGGAGGGTTTTATATGCAGAAGTACCTAATAACTGTTACTAATAATGTGATAAATGATTATTTGTTTTAGCTCTGTCTCTTTACTCAAAAAGATATTATTTTGACTGCATTGTATGACATGCAGTTGTGGATACCCAATGGGATCCAGGAGCAACTGTTTCTGCTTAATTTCTTAGTTGTTGGTTGATCCAGGCCTATAATCTTGCCCATTCCCATGTCCATGCAGAAATGATTTAAGGCAATAACAATGTGTTTGTATACATACATTGTCAAAGTTGACAATTCTTTCCAGATTATTCTGTTTGGGTGCATTTGACCATATTATTTGACCCTATTTATTTTTTGAGAAGACTGTCATGGCTTAATTGAATTTGGTCCTTAGTTATTACTGCCTCAGGTATGGCATCATCAGATGTCACAAGGTTGGAACTAAGTCAACCTAGGTGCATTACTGACACTGGATCAGCATCAGGCAGATGCACAAACAGAGGTTTAGAGACTACTGTCCTGTCAGCAGAGGCACTGTTCTCCTTGAGCAGAGTTTCTGCCTTCAAACTGAGAACAAATGTGTAATACACTGAATAAAATGAAATGACTCTTCCGCTTTGCATTTTTTCCATTAATTTTATGATACATTTTGAGAATTGCAAAAGATGCTGCAAAACTCATTAATAATGATTTAAACAGATCATATCATGCATAAAGATGTTAGCTTTGGTTCACAAAATGACCTGACAGAAAAGAATTTTCATTGTATAAATCATCACAGTATGAAACTCACTTCTGACTAAGTCTTCAGTAAACTCTTACTTTATCATCTTTTAATCCCCCCTTAAGGTATTTTCTTCTGGAACACACCCCTTTTTCATCTTCACACAAGTGATTTTATCTATACCCCAGAAGACATAAAGATACATCTTGCTACACAAACCATCTTCTGAGTAAATGTTGCCTAAATTTTGTGTTTATGAATGATAACTGTAATTAGCCCTACATGAGAGAGGAATTGTTGCTTTAATAAAATGTTCCTTAATTATGGACACATATAAGCCCAGGCATAAAGAAACCAAGGCTTATTATTCAGCATGTAGACAGTTTCCTTGTACTTTTGCCATCAACTCAACCACAGCAGATTAGTTTTTTTAATCTGATGATGCAGCAATCAACCCAGAACTGTCACGACAGCAAATCACAGCTTATGTACAGTTGGATAATAGAAGTCAGAGCTGAGCAATGAATACACAATAGAAATGGATAATTTGAAGCCTCAGGCAAGAAGATGAAATTGGAGAGCAGGAAAAAAAAAAGGCAGTGAAAACCTATTAATAACAATACCAGGCCAAGACCCAATAGAAAATCCTGTTTTTTTTGTCTGACATGTCTTTCTTACAAGAATTGTAAGAATCTGAACTACTTAGGATACTGACAGTGCTAAATCTGTGAGCATATCTAAAGCACACTAAAATTGCTTCACTGGCTCATCATTCCATAAGTATAAATTACAGCAGTATTTCAAACCTATTTGCATATGATTTACCACAGTATCTGCTGCATCTCTTCATTAGGATGAGTCAACAAAATTCATAAACAAAGTAGATATGCTCTCCTAAGATAACCACATGGTGCACTTCAGTTAATACCAAAATTTGCTACTTGAAAGTACTTACAGCAATTATGAAATTGATTAAATTTCAGGCTGGCAGCCTCTCTTGCACAATAGATTGCAATGCACAGTAAATTAGAAGGGTTTCACAGTTGTATGTTCAGAAAATATTTCAAATCTTCAAGGATATTGAACAACATGATGATATACTGTGGCAAACATATTTTCTGAAAATGTAAGGCTTTTTTAAAACCACTGATGCTTTGATATCAATGTCTGGATATATTACAGCGAATTTCAACTACTACAGTAGCCCTTATGTGCTACTTATAGTCTAGAAAAGCTATGCTACCAAACACCACTGAGCTGGTAGTTGCACATTCTAGGAAATTCTGAAAATGTAAGGCTTTTTTAAAACCTGGTAGTTGCACATTCTAGGAAACAAAGTCATCTTCTAGTTGCAACCAAAAGAAGTGACTACTGCAAAGGTTCACAGTTAAGGTCTGTTAAGGTAATTTTACCTCAAATAATAAATAACAATCACTAAAAAAAAAAGGAAGTATGGAAAGGAGTATACACCTACTGTTGCACAAGTGAATTAGGATGAAGACAAAAAAATGTTTTTCCATCACCCCTGTAAAGCTGAGTCATCTACACATTATGTCTGTTAAAGATAGCTGATAAGCCATTTTCAGGCAGCACTGAAAAACCTATAACCAGCTTCGTGTACATCATCTTGAAACATTTGCAAACATCTTTAGTTTGCAAACTCTTCAGTGTCCGAAATCTATATACAGTTAAGAGTGTAACATTTAGCTGATGTCCCTGCATCAAAGGTTGGACCAGATGACCTCCAGAGGTCCCTTCCCACCTCAGCCTGGCTGTGTCTATGATCTGAGCATCTCCAGCAGTCAACCGGGAGGGACAAGCCCTCTCACCTCCCTCCCAACATATAAATCAGCCTTGTCCTAAAATGGATGGAGTGAATCAGCACCTCATGGTACCTGTGAGTCTTCACTATCTAGATCTGCATTTGTGTAATACCCAGGACAGATTTTAATTCATAGCCAATGGAATTCCAGGTGTCCTTCCCTTTGAGACCAGGGTTGAAGGGTTTGGTTTCCTCAGCATGTACTGCTCAAGGACATGAAGACATGCTTCAGCTAGCAGAGGTCAACACCCCTGTTTCTCATTCTACCTTCCACAGAGTTTGTGTAACTAGCAGTTCAGCTACCTAATCCTAACAAGATTCATTCACAACCCTTGAAACATCCACTGATGGTTCACTCTGCTCACCAGCAGAAAACTAGAGACTTTTTCAGTGGGACTTTTAACTGCATTCCTTCCATACCCATGTTCTCCACCTCAACACAGGCTCCATAAATGCCATGCATTCAGAGTAAGGACTCATGACAACTGACATTCAGCTCATGCTCCACACTATAGCATCAGCATCTCACTTGTGGCTTAGCATTGCATCCTCTTGTGAAATGACTAAGAGAACTCTCACAATGACAATCTATGGTAATCATAAAGCAACAATGCACTGTCATTATTAACCTATTATTTATCAAAACCTGTCAATTTCCAATGTTTTGTACAAGAAAACTGGTGGCAAATACCCTGTCATGACAGTGATCTGATGTCACAAGGATAGTAGATTTATCATCTTCAATAAATTATCTTTTAAAAAAACAAAATGTAATGAAAACATGAATGACATATACTCACCAGAAGGTTTACTTTTACAATGAATCCCCTGCAAACAGAAATAAAATATTGTAAAAGTTGAGGTAACAATAAATATTGCTTAATCATTGTACACAAATAGAAACATACCTTAAACAGGTAAACGTATTCATAGTCCACAAAACAAATAATTTTCAGGTTGAAAATGCACATCACTACTGCATGTGACAGCCTGACATGTATGGCAACACAAGATCAGCATTATCCTTACTTTCATGTATTCCTACTGAGGTGGAATTGTTCTAACAAGTATAACAGTTCCATCGAATACAGACATCCTCAATAGCTTGTGTATTGTTTTATCAAATTTCACAATGGACTGCTCATACCAGAGCAAAGAAACACAGCAATTTTTAATGGAAGATACCTAGCACACAATTGAATTTTATATGACTTTTAGAAGATCACACTAGGCCATTGAAAGGAAGTATCATCGTAGTCACAAGTGAAGTTCAGAAATAAGGCTTGTCTTTGTATTTCTGAGAACTATCTGACTCAGAAGCCTGAAAATTAAATTACTCGGGCACAGTACTTATTGTGTTCAAGTGGGAAAGTGTCTTTGTAAGAGGCAAAGCGAACCTGGCACTGAGATTTTAACAAGCTTCCAGCTATCCTTCAGACAGACTGCATCCATTTTCCCAGTAAAATAAACACTTAACCACACACTAAAATTCTGCATAGTACAAAAATAACAAATCTTATTTTGACTGCTGTGCTTGACATTCTAAAGAAAGGCTATTGCTTAGCCAGCAAATGCTGTTTGCCGCTGTTCTAGCATTCAAGTTTCTGGCATAGCACTTGTACCAGTATTCATTTGCATACACCATGTGTGTTCCCCCTTCTTGCCTTTAAAAGCAGCGTCTCATTGACAGAGACACTTTTATCACACCCACAAAAGGAACAGGCATCGCCTTGTCTCCTCTGCTTTCAAACAGGACAGCAGCTTTCAGACCTTTCAAAACATTCTAGGATCTTGTTGACAAGCCAACAATCTGTGAGTTCTAGAGCCAGCAAAAGTCTTCCAGTGGACATGTAGAAGTTCTCAAATTGTATACAAACACAGAGGCTGCAGCATGGGTAAGCATTAGCACATCATAAAATAACTATTGCTTGGTGTTCCGTGAAGCTTTCTCCCACAGCTAATTCTGTCCTTCTCATAAACACATCTGCGGAGCACAACCATGTTATTGCTGCAGGTGAGAAGTGGCAGCATGTTAGCTCCCCTGTGCCAGCTGCATAGAGTACCTGAGAAGTGTGTGCTCTGTCCTTTGTCACTGCTTTTAATTTGAGCTAGATAAGCTTCTTTTTCAAGGCAGTCTTTAGAAAACCAATGACCAGCATCTGACCTGTACTAGTTCCCATTCTTTTGTCCTCTTGGCACTTTTAATAATTACTTCTGGAGGTAGTTTGCCACTATGACTCCTAAAAGTGCAAATGCATAAAAAGTGGTATTTTAAGCCATATTTTATAATAAGATGGACATGGTCATATACTTTCATAGACTGTGAACTATAAAAATTACTTGTGACATTGTTAAAAGACATTGCTTTGGTTTCTTCTACAGGATACTACATTGACACTCAAAGAAGTAGGGCCCGTTGTGATAGGACAAGGGTAATGGCTTTAACCTAAAAGAGGGTAGATTTAGATTGTACATAAGGAACATAAGGGTGGTGAAACACTGGCACAGGTTGCCCAGAGAGGTGGTGGATGCTGCATCCCTGGAAACGTTCAAGGCCAATTTGGACAGGGCTCTGGGCAACATGATCTAGTTGAAGATGTCCCTGCTCACTGCAGCAGGGCTGGACTAGATGACCTTTAAAGGTACTTTCCAACCCAAACCATTCTATGATTCTATAATTAAACCAAACTTCTTTACATAACTGTTCTAAAACTGGGGTACTTCTATTTCAATGTTTTTATAATTTCCTCAAATCCCCCTGAATACCTGAAAAATGTAACTGCTGTGACCTAATTTCTGCCATAATGTGTCATAGAAATATTTGCTATTTACAAATTATTTCTGCCCTCCTACCCCACCAAAAAGCTTAGTTGGTAGTTTGCTGATTCTCCCACTGCACATCTATCAATAAAGAGACTATAGCTTCCTGAATTACACAGTGCAACACAAAACCCTTAGAAATAGAACATGCCAGCTCATATAAAACTACTGGAATTGTAACTGCTGCTTCAAAGTCCTAATTTTGAATTATTTCTAATCAAATCCTGCAGAATACTGTTGAAGGACAATTTGAATTCAGTCTCTTTACTTTAGGTTCTCCATGGCCTTAGGGAGCAGAATAGGCAACTATACAAAAGGACTGCAAAAAATTGAGTGAGATAGTTAGGGAGCTCACTATATTGGTGAGAAAACCTAACTGTTGAATCAACTAATTGCTCAGCCATTGCTTACTGGAATAAATTAATCTCTCATGAGGCTGATAATTTAGCAAATTACTTCCATATTTTTTAACTTCCCATTTTGCAGTCAGACTAGTGAAAATATTTTGGTTAGGTGGCTTGACAGAGTTCCCAACTGCCAGTCAAAATTTCTTAGAACAACATCTTTAAAATAACTTCTCTAACCATTCTTTCTGGTTTCAATTATAGTGCAAAAATACATTTAAAAAAATCAAGGCCCCATTGAAGTAAACAACAAAAATCTCACAAAACTCAGAGGACTCAGCCTTCTACTTGGAGAAGGCCAGTGGTTTGGTGATCCTGTTATGACACCTGAAAAATGAAAATTTTATGTAAATTAAGTTACACACATGTGGGAAAAAACCAAAACACCCAATTCTGTGGGGCTGTGTGATGATGCAGAAATCCTCTTATACCTTCTAGTCTATCCTAATTAATTATTGCTTTTCACTATTGCTCAGAGGAATTGCTACAATCTGAGCTTGTGCAGTTATTTTCTCATCTCCACAGGAAAAAAAAAAGGAACATACCCTTCAGTGACTTTTGTTATGGTAAGGAGATGTTTCATCATTCTTGGGCACTTGGTTTTGTTCTGGGTGAGGACTTGCTGGGAAGGTTTACATAAATAATCAAATATTTGCACAAACACTTGCCAGTTACAGCAACATTTGGGCACAGCTCAATTCCTTATTTTTTTAAATAAGGACTTTTTTATTGTACAATAGCAAGGGCAGTGAGGGTGGTATTTTCTTTTATCATAATTTTGCAAAATAGTCAAAAGAGACCATTTGTCTAAAAGAAGAACTCAAATTAATTAACCAAGTTCCTCTCCCACTTTCTATATCTTTTGTTTTCAGGAATTTTCAGTGATGACTGAAATAGAAAAGCATAACATACTAGTACCAGAATGGAAATTTTCTTCCCCTTTCACAAACGCTGAAGGCATCTTCTATGCAAAAATAAGATCCTGAACATGATAGTACATTTTACTCCTATACAGAGAGCATCTTTGATTCATATCCACTTTGGCAAAGAGCCTAATCAAAATACACTTACACAATGCACAAACAGTTAGGGATTTTCCTATTTCTCTAGGGTTTTCCCCATTTGTGGTATTACTCAACTGTTGCTAGAGGTTATCTGAACAGACACCACCAACGTGCAGCATTCTGAATAGAAGGTGTGGTGCCAACTTTTTAGCTAGCACAGCAACTTCTCAGTCTAAGCCAATTGTAATATCCCATTGTTCTATGTAAAGACTGTAAGAGAAGGAAGAGAGGAAGACTTGGATTAGGGGGCACAGAGTGCTTTCATGAATTAAAATTGCCAAGGAAAAGAAATGAAGATCAGATCTGCTTCCCATTTCCACTTATATCTCCAGGCACTGAATCAAGTGTAGAAATGGAGAAATTCTTGTGTGGATGTTCTTTCATGCAGAATCTCAGGAAAATTTGGTTTTACAATCTACCTGCTAGCTCTGTTGAAGCTTGTTCATTGAAGAGCTGGTGGCAGCTCTTCCACAGTTCTGAAAGGTATAGTAATATGCCTGAAAATGCCTTAAAATGTGTTCTTTAATTTGGATCAGGCTGCCAGACACTTATCATTCATTCATTAAGGTACCTACATTAAAGTCAGTGAATGCAGAGTGAAGAGTTTTTCCCCCTTTTGAGAGATCCCCAGTGGCAAAGCTATTACCTACATTTCTACTTTAGGTTCAGCTGTCAGATAGGGCAGAAAGAAAAGAACATGACCATATTCTGATGTTTCCCTCTATTCCAACAACTTCTATTCTTTGACCACCATTAAAAACAAGCGTGGGACTCTATGTACTCTTACAATGCAGGGAAAGGGTGGTTTTGCAATAACTGATGCTCAAATTGTAGCCAAAAGGCTCATAAAAATGATTAATTTAATCATGTTCTATTTTGATTTCCAGTCAAGAGGGTATGCTGTGCACAAATCCATCTCATTCTACATACAAACAGAAAGGATATCCCACATCACTGGGTCTAGTCCCCTGATAACCACAGGCACCATATCATCAAACCCCTGTCAAAAACTGGTGAAGTGTCATTTTAAAATCAGTCAGGCTTTCATGTGCACTTCTCCAATAGCAGAGGCTATTCCAGAAGCCCTGATGTCTGCCAGAACCAAACCTTTTAATTTCTAACATGAACACAATAATGGTTAGCTTGTATTAACTTCTGATTGTGTTCATTATCTTTTCACTTAAATAAATGCTTTGCACCCTGGAATTTACTTTTCTACAACCAGTAATATAACTTTCTTCAGCTTGATTTGCAAGATGATAAAAGCCAAGCTCTTTTACTCCTCTCTAAGAAACCAGGCTTTCCTTCTTATCATCACCCTTCCCAGCAGCTACTTCTACTTTAATGCATATGTCCAAATGGAGTGACCAGAACCACACATAGTTCTGAATATATCAGGGTTTATTTTGTGCCTTGTAAAGGTGTAATAATCTTTGTCTCAAGTTAGGAGCACCACAACAATGCTGTATCAGTAGTTATCCTCCAGTACAGAGTGGGAGCAACTTACCCCTGCCTATGTAAGTAATCCAGCAGCAGCTTT